TATAAAAAACCTTTTACTCATACTCCATTGTTTTTGACAGTTAATAAACAACTTTCAAAATTTCAGAATACTGAATTTTAAAGATAATGTTCAAAAAATTTCTTATAATTTTGTTTGTGACTCTGTAACAACAGAGATGGTATGGTTTTAAATATTTTTGAGATAATATTTATGTGTCAGCTACTCAAATTGTTGAAAAGCTAATACTAATCACAGATAAGCAAAGTTCAATCTCTTTTTCTTCCTTCAAAGTCTTTCTCAAGATAATCCTCTGGTGTGGTTGCTCTTTTGTAATCTCTACAATCTATTACAATGCTGGGCTGGAAAAGTCCAGGTTATTTTATGTTATAAGTTCTTTCACATAGCTTCTCTAATCTTCTCTGCTAGGCAGAACTATTTATGGTGCCGGGCCATCTTCCTATAAGCTTCTGCTGGTTTACTTGAGATCCACCTTAGTTCCATAGTTTTCTGATAAATCTCCAAGTGCTAGCTCTATTCTTATTTGCAGCTGATTTTTGAAACCCATAGAACACAAAGTTTTCTCAAGTTTAATTTTTTTTTTTTGAGAGGTTTTTACTATAGGGCATGTGTGCTCGCCAGAAAGACAGAGAGAGACAGAGAGACAGAAAGCAAGAAATCATCCCCTGGGGGATAGCCACGCCACAATCCCTTCTCCTCCATTCTCCTCTCATTATCTTGGGAATGCACACAAATGCACCCGGCATGAGTTTAAACCACGGGGTCCAGGACTCAAACGCAGTCAATTACATGAGAGTCCAGCGACATAGCCATTACACTAACTGCTGGTCCCTCATGTTTGATTTTTCAGCCAGAAAACTGTAAGGTTAAAGCCAGTTGAGATGTCTATGGTGTTGGCCACTGTTTCTGCTGTTAATTATGATTTCTCTTCAATTGAATCACAAACAACATATTTTTTTCTTCACAAATTGATGTAGATGATCCCCTATAAGCATCATTTTTAACATAATCTCATCTCGACTCTCCTTAAAACAACTAATTCATTTGTGAACTATTTCTTTAGGGCATTATCCCAATAAACTTTTCAGAAAGCACCAATGATTTCACCATTTTTCCATTGAAGCGTCATCATATATTTGAGCTGTTCTTGCATTAACTTTAGTAGAATTCATATTGCTCTGATAGCAACTCTTTTCAAACTGACATCTTATCATTCAGAGTGTCTCAAACTAGTTTATATTTGGACATGTCATATAAGGTTATTATGAGTTTATTTTGGTTTAAACATTTTTAAAAATTCTGCATAGACTTTTTTTTTTTTTTTTGAGAGAGGTTTTTGCTATAGTGTGCGTGCGCTTGCCAGACAAAGACAGAGAGACAGAAAATGAGAAATCACCCCCCCAGAGGGGATGGTCATGCTGCAATCCCTTCTCCTCCATCCTCCTCCCGGGATCTTGGGCACGCATGCACACGTGCCCGGTGTGAGTTTTAAGCCACAGGGTCCGGGACTTGAACCGTGGCTGACTACATGGGAGTTCAGTGACATAGCCATTACTCTAACTGCTGGTTCCCATAGACTTTTCATCATATGCATTTTCATAAACTTTTAGAAGACTCCTTATATGATTGAGACAAGGGAGTCAATTGGAAGTTTAAAATGGTTACAACTTTAAAATAATGAGCAAGAAAATAAATAATATAATATTGAAATATATCCCAAAGTATAAAATATATATCAAATAATCCATATAGTTATAACTAATTGATGAACAACTAAAGATATAAAAGAGACAAATCTTTCATAATATAATCCCAATTTATTTATGTAGATAATGTGCCTTCTATGAAAGACAAATTGGTATAGTGTAGAAAGAGAACCAATGTTTGGATAATTCACTTTACAAGCTAAGTGAGGTATATTGTTTGAATGCACAAAATAAATTAAAATGAAAAAAGAAAGAGAACCAAAATTATACAAATCTGATTTTGAAATATTATTGTTTCTGTCTTGTGTAAATCATCTAACCTCACAGATTTTCCCTTAACTTATTTCTGAAAGGGGACATTTTAAATTTCATTATCATGTATCATAGTAACAGTTATTTCTACCACAACATTCAGTCACTTCTGCCAGCTGGAATAGCCTGATAGGGAAGTAAAGAGGAGAGAAAATACAATAAAAGAGATTGTGAGAGATAAAGCAGGATCTGTTTGACTTAAAAGGAGGAAAATTGACCTCTTTAGTAATTTCTCAATTGTCAAACTCATAATACTGTAGATTCTCCTAATTTGTACTTACGTTTGACATTTTAGACATTTTTCAGGTTACTAAAATAAAGAAGAAAAGTAATAAATAAAAGAATATATATTAATCTCACCATTCTTTCATGCATCTTTCTAATCATTCAAGTGCCAATGCTAACTCTACAAGGTGTCTTCAAAAAGTTCAGGGAAATATGTATTCTAAGAAAAACTATGTATGATTTTTAAAAAGAAAGTTTATTCATTTCTTAAATTGAGAGAGAGAGAGAGTACCTTAAATGAGTATTGAAGCCTTGATCCATCCCTAGCTTGATCTATTTCCAGATCACGGGTGTGCAGCAAAAATAGGATCTTTGCCCTTGATAGAAAGCACTGTGCTCTGTTCTTGACAGCTGAAGAAGAGGTCCCTGCTGTAGCCCGTATGGCTGCATTTTTCAAATTGGAAACACATGGCTCTTTTTCATTCTACTTACTATTTATTTCCCTAAGTAAAACTTACCAAAAGTAATTCTACATGAATTATACAAATACCACTTGATACAGTTTTGATCATTTGCTATTATAATAATGATAGTTGCTGTATTACCTTTTATTCTGTAGAAATGATCACAATCATTATTTTCTAGATTTAGCATTTTTCAATTATAACAATTTCATTGAGCTATAACTCACGTATCATAATATTTACCTCTTAAAATATATAATATAATTGTTGTTTAATATACAGGGCTACTATTACCTTTAGTGCAATCTTGTTTTGCATATCTTTGTCCCACCAAAAAGAGATCCTTTTAGCAATCACTTCTCATTCCTCTCTACCATTATCACCCCACGTTGGAATATTTTGAAGGTAGAAACAACAGAAGTTTTTAAGTGTATTGACAAATAATGTGCAAGGAATTGAATAGTGAAAGATATTGTAAGATTTTAATCTGAACAAATAATACATTAGGCAGTTCTATTTCATGAGATGGAGAACACCTACAAAAAATAGGTTTATCGTGGAAAACAAAAAATATACATATTTTTATGGGCCAGCAGCTTGAAAATCATGCTGGAGACATGTACCTGTGTATCCAAAATCCTGATAGGAGAATGGAAGAGAAGGGATTGTGGCATGGCCATCCCACCCGGTAATGATTTATTTTCCCTTTCTTAGAAATTACCTTAGGTGATTTCTCCAGTATTATTATCATTTTTTTAAGAGAGAAATTTTTGTTATAGGACCTGTGTGCTCACTAGAGAGACAAAGAGAGAGAGAGAGAAAGAGAGAGACAGAAGGTGAGAAATCACCCACAAGGGGTTTGACTTTGCCACAACCCATTCTCCTGCTTTCTCCTCTCGGGATTTTTGGTCCGTATGCAGACACAATTGGCGTGAGTTTTAAAACACTGAGTTTGGGACTCAAAACATGGTCGACTACGTGGGAGTCCAGTGATGTAACTACTAGGCCATCTGCTGGTCTCTCTCCAGTATTATTTTCATGTGAATTTATACTTTCATATGAATTTACATATGGCACACCTTTTCAAGCAACCTCTTTTGTTCTAGGCAATTCTCTCTTCCCTTTTAAAGCTCACCTAAGGCTTCTTCCTTAGAGAAGCCTTCCTTTGATTTAGATGTTTCAGCACCGTGAACCTTCAGGGCATGAATATGTTGATTATGACCTTTACTGTATTGGGTCAGGCCTGTTTTATCCTATCAATGAGTACTAGTTGCCAATGAAAGAAAATCAAGTCTTAACCAATTTGGTAATCCCAGTAGCTCTGACAATAGTTTGACTTAACTAAATGGCCGTTTTAAAACTTTTTTTTTAATTAATTTAATAAGTAAAATGGTGATAATACATATTCTTTTGAGTAAGAAGTAATTGATGTCATTGAGGAAGTTTTATCCATTACATTTCTAATAAAAATATCCTGGTGCATGTTGCTATGACACTGTGTTCCACACGCTGGCCCACATGGAGGCCCAGATGTGACTGTCAGTCCATCCTAAAGGTTGAGCATGATGGGCAGTGCTTGCATAGTGCCAACTGGGAGGAAATTAGAGACAGTGAAACTCTGTGTTTAAAAATACACTTAAAAAAAGTATTACCAGAAAGTGCGTGTGCTTGCTGGAAAGAGACAGAAACGAAACACAGAGAAAGAAAAAGTAAGAATGTACCCCCTCAGGGGGCATGGTCATGATACGGTCCCTTCTCTGTTTCTCCCTCCTATCAGGATTTGGACATGTACACACATGTGCTCAGTGTGTTTTTCAAGCTGCCCTCTCTGGGACTTAATTCCATACTGTAAGCCATGTGGAATCTAGTTGTCTTAACCACTACACCACTGGCAAGCCCCAAATACTTTTTTTTTTTTTTTCCAATTTCTGCAGTTAACTTTGTTTTTCAAACCAACTAGACAAGTGCAATTTTCCATATTATACTTCAGTGAATGGGTATTGTCATTAAAAGTTATATTTCATTCAGCTTATCCACATTTTAAATCATGAAAAATGCATAGTCTATTTGCTTTCTCAATAAAACACCACTTTATTGAGAAAGTACTCATTTATTTTTAACGAATTGTATGAGAAAAATCTAAATGATTAAGTAAAATGAAAGCGACGATAATAATAATGCTCGATGTACTGATTAAGTGTCAGAGTATATGCGTAAAACAACAGAAGGTACATGCTCCTGTTTGCCCAATTATCTTTCCAAATAATGACAAGAAGACGGTGAGAATGGACCTTTCTTACAGATGTGGTCTTACGGAATGATGACACTAAAACAGAAATAATTCAAATTTAACTTTTGTTTCAGGGATATTTGATGACACCACATGTTTCTCATGGCATTCTTCATCTCCATGTTTCTCAGTGTGTAAATAAGAGGGTTGAGCATGGGGGTAATGATGGTGAAAAACAGAGCAAATACTTTATCTTCTGGGAATGTTGTGATTGGTCTAAAGTAAATGAATAATGCAGGTGCAAAAAACAGGACCACAACTGCCATGTGAGAACTGCATGTGGGAAGAGCTTTGCTGCGGCTCTCTGCAGAGTACGTTCTGATGGTGTACAATATACAAAAGTAAGACGGCATCAGGACAACAAAGGTCACCAGAGCAACTAGGCCTGGATTAGCAATGACTAGGAGACCTATTCTATGTGTATTAGAACAGGCTAATTTTAGCAAAGGATGCACATCACAGAAGTAATGATCTATCTCACTGGGGCCACAGAACGGTACGAAGATGGTGAGAAGAAACTGACTGGCAGAGTGTATAAACCCTCCGGTACAACAAGCTATGACGATTGTTACACCTTCGCTTGCTCATGATGGTTGCGTAGTGTAGCGGCTTACAGATGGCCATATAGTGGTCATAGGCCATCCCTGTGAGAATGAAGATCTCAATTCCTCCAAAGAGATGGGTGGTAAAGAGCTGTATCATACAGTTATTGAAGGAAATGGTTTTCCTGTCTGCCAATAAATCAGGAAAGCATAGGATTTCAATGTTCTTATTTGTGGAAAGTCCCAAGAAAATAAATACAGTGATAATATTGCTTCTTTCCATGGTCCAGAATAGATAGAACAAATAAATCACCTGAAATGACATAATTTATGAGTTTATATTTGCACTGATTGTTTGAGAATTGTGATCGTATTCTATTTCAGGAACTATTTAATTTTAATTTACTTTATTCAAGTGTCTCAGAGAATAAAATGCTGGTTCATTTAAAATTACTTTCTCATAAGACTCTGTAAATGTATACCAGATGACTTCAATTAAATCTGCCATGAAATTTCAATTAATTTCTACCTCAGTAGTCATAAATGCTTTGGTTCAATAACCAATATTAAAATTGTATTTTAGAAATGTTTGTTTCCAAAATCTAATGCTATATACAGTATATCCTTACAAAGAATATCTCTCTTACTCTTTGGCACTCAAAATTTATTAAGAAAATAATTATAAGTCACATAAATATTATTTTTATGTTCTGTACAAGTAAATGCAAAATCTAAACTGTCTTTATTAGTGGAATATATATTATCTTAAATCTTTTTTTGAACTAGATAACATAAAAATAAGTAAATCTGTAGGAAAATATTTTAAGATGGAAAGCTTTTTCTTCAAGAAATTGGTACAAGCATTTTGAAAACTTTTATGTTCGTTGCTTTCTTGTTTACCATTTTGCACAGTAATTTACTGAATATTATGTGTGGATACTTTAAAACACAAAGATGTTTTGTCCTAAGGCTAATTCAATGAAAACAACAAACTTAATAAGCCACTAAATAAACTTAAGACTAAATCCATTAATGCAGACAGAATGTTATACTGAAGCTTTGCCCCTAATGCCCAATATTATATTTAGCAAGTCAAATTCCTTTTTTTTTAAGAATTATTTTCTTTGAGACCAGCAGTTGGCATAATGGCTATGTCGCTGGACTCCTATGTAGTAAACCACAGTTCAAGTCCCAGAACCAGTGGCTTAAACTCATACCTGGCGTGTGCCCGAGATCCCTAGAGGAGGATGGAGGAGAAGGAATTGCGGCATGGCCATCTCCTCTTGGGGGTGATTTCTTGCTTTCTGTCTCTCTCTCTTTCTGGTGAGTGCAAACAACAAAAAAAACTCAAAAAAAAAAAAAAAAGAATTATTTTCTTTAACTTTATTTTAATGTGACCAGAGAGAGACAGAGTGAGTGAGTGAGTAAGTGACAGGGAGAGAAAGTGAGAAAGCAAAGCAAGCTGCCAAGTCCATGACTCAAACTGCAGTCACCATGTGGGTGGGAGTCCAGCTCCCTCAAATGCAACACCACCTGCTGGCCCCAAGAAACCAAATTCCTTTTAACCTTGTGATTGGAGGGAATATATACTTTTTTTTTCCAGGTTTGTACCATATTATTGTTTTGCTCAATCCCACAAAGTCAGTGCATCAATATGTCCTCATTTTTTATGAGTTTACCAAAAAAATTATTTGTATTTCCAGTTGTCTTTGTTTAGAAAGTTATAGCTGATGATTAATTCTTCCATCTACAAATTTTAATTTTTGATTTAACTTGCTCATAGACATAAGACCAGTATGTATTATTATTATTATTATTTTTTGGAGAGGTTTTTGCTACAGGGTGCGTGCGCTTGCCAGAAAGATAGAGAGAGACAGAGAGACAGAAAGCGAGAAATCATCCCCCGGGGGGATGGCCGCACCACAATTCCTTCTCCTCCATTCTCTTCTCGGGATCTTGGGCATACATGCACATGCACCCGGAGTGAGTTTAAGCCACCATGTTGGGACTCGAACTGTGGTCGACTACATGGGAGTCCAGCGACATAGCCATTATGCTAACTGCTAGTCCCAAGACCACTATGCTTAACTGCAGCAATATTAGTGCTTAAAAAATTATTTATTTAATTTAGTTTGCTCTAGGGCATATGTGTTTGCCAGACAGACAGAGAGATTAAGAGGGAAAGTGAGAAATCACCCCCTAGAGAGGATGACCATGCCACAGCCTCCTCTCTTCCATTCTTCTCCCATGATTTTGAGCACCCATGCACCTGTGCTTGGTGTGATTCCCAAGTCTTTGAGTCCTGATATCCACCATGCTGTCTACCATGTGGGATAAAGTCACTTTAACCTCCATGCCATCTGTTGGCCCAATAGCTTTCAATTTTACCAGAAAAAAGATCTAATAATCCTGGGATCTGGCAGGTAGTGTAGTAGTCAAGGTATTAGATTCCCAATAGTCAATCTCTCTCAAGCCCTAGACCTGGCAGCTTGAAAATCTACCACAGAGGGGCCAGTAGGTAGTGTGTTGGTTAAGGCAGTGGATTCACAGATGGCCTTCCATGGTTTGAGACCCAGAAGTGGCACCTTGAAATCACAATAGGTGTATGTGCATATGTGCCCAAAATCCCAAGAGGAGAATAGTGGAGAAGGGATTGTGTTGTGGCTGTCCATCCCCCCCAAAGGGGAGAGGGGGAAATTCCTCACTGTCCTTTTCTCTGTTTCTCTCTGGCAAGTGTACGCACCCTATGGCAAAACCCTGTATTTTTTTTTTTTTTGAGAGGTTTTAGCTATAGGGCGCGTGCGCTCGCCAGACAGATAGAGAGAGACAGAAAGCGAGAACTCACTCCCCAGGGGGGATGGCCACGCCGCAATCCCTTCTCCTCCATTCTCCTCTCGGGACCCTGGGCACGCACGCACACGCGCCGGGCGTGAGTTGAAGCCACCGAGTCCGGGACTCGAACCGCGGTCGACTACATGGGAGTCCAGCGACATAGCTATTACGCTAACTGCTGGGCCCTTTTTTTTTTTTTAATAATTTTGAGGCAATCCCTCCTTACTTGTCTTAATTCAGCCATTAACCTCATGTGTAACTTTTGCAAATATTAAATTTTCAAAAGTTTCATTTTAACTACTTTTTTCATAAATGAGAGACATCTACAGAGAGAGAAAGTGAAAAACAGAGAGACAGCTCACCTAACAGGATCTTGATGGTGCAGTCCACTCCCAAATTCCACTAACCCTAGGTCACGGACACACACACATGCCAGGCATATTCAGGAAGATTTTCAGACTCGAGCCTGGCACCTTTCCATGTGGAAGAGCTTCATAGCATCTTGCATTTTACTGCATTACCACCATTCAGCCTCTGTTCATTTCCTTTTAAAAAATATTTTATTCATTTTTAAATACAGGAAAGTATAAGGAGTCTTCAAAATGTTCATGAGAAATGTGTACTATAAATAAATGCATGGATTTAAAACAATTTTTGCCTTGCAGCAAGCTCATACTTTAATTCTATTTTTTTTTCACAAATGTTTTGAAGTCTCTTCATATATCCTACTCTTATAATTAGAGGTTGGTTCTGAGGTTCAAGCTCGATCATAGATTTAAAGAGTGAATAAATGACATTATCATTATGCTAATATTAATGCAACACAAAGAAAAATAAATTAATCTTACTTTAGGTTTATTTAGGTTAAGTAATTTGTATATAGTAATATAGCCAGTATATAGCAAACTAGGGCTTAACGTCTGAAGTTTCTGACCCCAGACCTAGAATTTATAACCATCTCACTACATTTCCTATCAAGAATGAAAAGCAGAACAACAGGACAAATTGAATATTTAGCTCAGCTTTCCCAACTCTGAAGTTTGAAAGCATGTCTGAATCTGTAAGGCAAACTAAGAAGATACTGAATCCTCCTATGATATATTCCCACTTTCTTGAAAAAAGTAGTTTGGACAAAACACTTCCTAGTCAATTTTTACTTTTATTTTTTTTTTTTGGAGGGGGGAGTTTGCCTACTTTAGATTATGGGTCAGTTTATAATAAAAATCAGAATGTAGAGTAGAATAGTTTTTAAAGTTTTAGATGCAGCAGGTTTAGTCCAATAAATATTTAATAAACTCAAAAAGTTATGGGGAAGTTGATGGTTTAGATGGAAAGAAAATAAAGTATTTGAAATTAATACTGTTCTAGATATCTAGGGTGTAATGTAACTATGTTGATAGACCTTTCCTGGGTCTTAAAGAGAAACTAGACTATCTTAGAAGTGTCTAAATCAACACTCACTGGATGTCTAGAGATGGATACAGGGTTAAGAAGATGAGAGAAAGGAAGAATTTGATAGAGGCTTGAAGTCAAATAGGACAGCTCATTTTATCCTACAGTCTCTCCATTAGGCCCTGTCCAAGGATTTTAAGCTTATTCTAGTCTGATGATTTCTATTCAACACTGAGGCCTATGTAAGATGACTGTTCATTAGTTGGTTAGTGGATTCTTCTAATACAATTTAGTCATGGTTACTTTAAAATGTCCAATAAATCATACAACAATGCATAAATTTAGTTAAATTGCACATTCATAACCATATATATGTCTTAAAAATTATGCATTTATTCTTAAACTAAGCAAATCAATTAATGAAGTTCATCGAAGATTTGGCACCATGCTACAGGCTGGCTAATAGATGTATGAGCATGTGTCTATTCAAAAAATGAAAGTGTTTAAAAAACTAACAGCATTTAAGATGTGGAATTAGTAGTGGCATACCAGGAACAAGCAGATGGTGTAGTAGTTACGCCGCTGGACTCTGACATGGCTGACTGCTGTTTGAGTCCTTGACCGATGGCTTGAAAATCATGCTGGGCCAAATCATGTGTTAATGCCCAAGAACCTGGGAGGAGTATGAAGGAGAAGGGTTTATGGGGCAACTATTCTCCCAAAGGTGATTTCTCACTTTCTCTCTCACTGTTTCTGTCTGACTCTCTCTCTGGCAATCACATGCACCCTAAGGCAAAAACCTCTTGATTTAAAAAATGGCACTGTAGTCATATTTTCTGCCAACAAAATTATCTAGCCCCATGGATTAACAATGATACTAGGGTCCGGTAGTAGAACATGGTACGGTGGTAGTACATGGATGCTCTTCAAAGCTGACATACATAGGGAGTTCTGGATTTGCATCTAGAGAACTCGCTTGAGTACACAAAGTACACAACTGCCCTTAATCTGGGGCTGGCTGATGCTGGGGGTAGACTGCATCATCAAGTCTCTGTTCGG